AGAATTCTACAAAATAAGAAAAAAGACTAAAATACAATCAGGTGAATAGAAAGGATAGCATGTTCCTGGATTACTGAGCTTAACAGGAGGAAAAATGTCAGTTCTGCCCACACTGATGCAGAAATTAACAAAATCATCATCAACATGATAATCAAACTCATTAAGGAAATCTTTAAATCCAGATGCTGAGACACAGTAAGAGGCAAACAGATCCACAGCACAAAACGGGAATTGCAAAGACAGGAGGGCATGCATGTGCTCATAGTGTGTACATGTATGTGCAGTGCATGCGTGCGGTGCGGGCCTGGTATGTGTAGTGTGTGTGGTACGTGCAGTACGTGCGTGGTACGTGCAGTGTGTGTGCGTGTGGTGTGCAATGCGTACGTGCAGTGCGTGTGTGCGTGTGGTGCGTCCACTGCCTGAGTGCAAGATGCGAACATGTGTGTGGTGCGTGACTGTGGTGCATGTGAGAGAGTGTGTATGTGTAATGCAATGCTAAAAACAAAGCATCACAAGCGAATGAAGAAAAGCTGACCCTGGCCAGTTACACCAGAAGGGGCAGCCACCGACCTTTAGAGGCTCCCCAGAGTCCAGCCCTGACTAGGCACACGGGGCAAAGGGTACAGGGAGGAGACGCATCACAGGCAACATGGACTCCATGTGGACCCATCTCAGGCACACGCACCTAAAACAATCTAGATCAAAGTTTTCTAGCAGAAGCATTAAAAAAGAAAAAAAGAAACAGGTGAAATTAAATTTAATGATACATTTTTAACCCAATACATCCAAAGCATTATCATCTCAACACGTAATCAGTAAAAAAAGTCATTCATTCTTTTTTCATATTTAGTTTTCAAAATCAGTTATATATTTTCCACTTGTCTGACATCTGAATTTGGATACTAAATTTTCATCTGAGACATTGGATTTGCAGGTCAATTTCATAATATTTATAGTTGAGAAAAGAGTTCTCATGCCCAAGTTGTTCCAAACAACTTAAAAGTTTCTCAATAATTGGACCAATTATCGGTTTTTAAATTTTAATTCAAACCAACTAAAATTTAAAATTCATTTGCCAAGGCACACTAGCAACATTTCAAGTGCTGAAAACCCGCATGTGGCAAGTGGCTAGCGAATTAGACAACAGAAGTCCAGAATCTTCCACTGCAACTCAAACCTCCAAGGTCTCACACTGACCACCACAGCTGCTAAAGACTCAAAGTCACCATGACCTTTAATACATCTGGAATCAAACCCAAATTCCTCCATCTGCTGGTTATGCAGTCATGGGCAGTGTTCTTATGCTCAGCAAGCTTCAGTTTTCTCATCTATAAAAAAGGGGTGATGGTGCCCATCTTGTGAAATTCTGAAGATTAAAGGCCTGATTCACAGAAGACACTATATGTTAGTTCTCTTCCCCTTATATCTATAGAGTACTTATGAAGTGTTTTCCAATTTACTGTTTTATTTGCTTCCGACAACAGGATGGTAGGACAAGCATCATTACCCCCATTTAAAGATGAGACAACATGGGGCGCCTGGGTGGCTCAGTGGGTTAAGCCTCTGCCTTCGGCTCAGGTCATGATCTCAGGGTCCTGGGATTGAGCCCCGCATCGGGCTCTCTGCTCAGCAGGGAGCCTTCTTTCCCCTCTCTCTCTGCCTGCCTCTCTGCCTACTTGTGATCTCTGCCTGTCAAATAAATAAAATCTTAAAAAAAAAAAAAAAAGATGAGACAACAAAGTTCAGAGGAGTTAAGGGAACAACTCAAAGTCCTACGCTGGTGATGGCGCAGGAATTCTAACCCCTGTACATCTGCCTCGGGGTCCACTGCTTCTCCCACAGCCAGCACAGCGTTCCAGCTCCAGCTGTGCCTCAGTCTCCAGCTGCCTCCTCCTTACTAATCCAAGAGGAGGGTGGGAAGCCCTGGAGTATAGGGAACGGGACTCCTCCCAGGCAGCCTGCCCCGGCTTCAAGGAAGACACGGGCTTTCCTCTGCCTCTTCCCTGTAGAACAGGAGCCTTCAGGGCCTGGCCATCTCCCTGTCTCAGTGCATAGTCAGGCCCCCACTGACATCCTTCTGCAGAGTTACAGAGAACAGAAGGAACCAACCACTCCTCAAAAGGGCAAAAGAAAAGGACCCAAGGGAATGAGTTAGGCTCATCTTCTATCAAAATGAATGCAGATGATCTTACGATTCTCTGGACTTACTTAGAAGGGAGACTCCATCAGCCACCACCCCAAAGCCTCTGATGGGATTCTTCAATGCCACACAGCAGCGAGAATGAACGATGGACAACTACACACAGCAACGTGGTGAATCACAAGGGGAATGCTAAGCAAAAGCAGCCTAATCCTCTAAAGGAAGCAGATGGGGTAATTCCATTTATGTGAAATTCTAAAACATTCAAACTAATTTATGCTCAAAGATTTGCAAGAGAGGGGTTATCCTTGGTTGGGGAGTGTGGGGTAGATGGGGGAGTCAAGGGGCTTCTGGGGGACTGGTGCTGTTCTGTTTCTGGTCCCAAAAGCTGACATTGAAAACATGGCTATGTTTGTGAAAATTCGTCATGTGCACTTTTCTGTATAGTTATGGTGCAAGAAAACTTTATACTAACTTTCTGGGGTGATGGAAATCTTCAATAAATCGATCCAAGTAGTGGTTATATGGTTATAGATATATATGTTAAATGTCATTGACCTGTTTGCTAAGGTTGTATTTTACTGTTTACAAGTGAAACCATAGGAAATTACACCCCAAAAAGAGTCTCAGAAACATCATATAATTGTCCTTCCTAAATTTAAACAACTCTAAACTCGCTAGCTTAGCCTCAAGGTCTTATTAAAAAAAATTAGTTTATAAATATTAAATACCTATTTGAAACTTAAGAAGGTGTTATGAAATCAAATGACACTCTAGTATATAACTATATTGCTCTAAAATGTTTCTTAAATATATTTATTATCTTAAGAGTTGGTGCCACACACCTTTCAATGATACCTTGCTTGGGGCACCTGGGTGGTATAGTCAGTTAAGCGTCCGACTCTTGGCTTCAGCTCAGGTCATGATCTCATGGGTCATGGAATCAAATCCTGTGACCTGCTACCTGCTCAGTGCAGAGTCTGCTTGAGATTCTCTCCCCTTCCACCCCTCCCACTTGTGCACGCTCTCTCTCCCAAATAAATAAATAAAGCTTTTAAAAAAACAACAACAACAGGGGTGCCTGGGTGGCTCAGTGGGTTAAAGGCCTCTGCCTTCGGCTCAGGTCATGATCCCAGGGTCCTGGGATCGAGCCCCGCATCGGGCTCTCTGCTCAGCAGGGAGCCTGCTTTCTTCTCTCTCTCTGCCTACTTGTGATCTCTGTCTGTCAAATAAATAAAATAAAAAATCTTTTAAAACAACAACAACAACAACAACAACAACAACAAAGAGGGGCACCTGGGTGGCTCAGTGGGTTAAGCCTCTGCCTTCAGATCAGGTCATGATCTCAGGGTCCTGGGATCAAGCCCTGTATCGGGCTCTCTGCTCAGCAAGGAGCCTGCTTCCCCCTCTCTCTGCCTGCCTCTCTGCCTCCTTGTGATCTCTCTCTGTCAAGTAAATAAAATCTTAAAAAAAAAAAACCAAAAACCAAAAAACAAACAGACAAGGATACCTTAAGATAATATTTTACTTCCAAGCCTTTTCCCTTCCCAATTGGAAGTATGATAAAAGGCTTAGCTCAGGCAGAAATTCTCAGATTTCAAGCTTGTAAGGTTAAAATCAGTGAGCCTTTAAATCTAAGCATTTGCCTTTTAGAAAACATTGTATTAAATGTAGACATTGAAAACATTAGAATATTGACAAGAGGTTTCCAAAATAATGCAAGAAAACTCCCCCAAGAGATCGATGGGGCAATTATTGGTCCCTTAATTTGTCTATAAATCTCAATGTGCCAAACAAATACTATATTTTAGCACTTGAGTGTTTATTAATACAAAATCTTAGCAAGGTAAATTAAATACCCTAAAAATTTTTTATCAACTCAGAAACACTATTTTTTAGGCTGTTAAATGCCCTTAACTTCTTTAAGTAACAGCCCCAGTTCAGCCTTGCTGAGATCTGCTAAAGCCTAGAGGGTTGACTTTTATTCTGAGGTCCAGCCTCCCAAGGCCAACCACTGAGAATATCTGCGAAACAAGAATACTTATTTCAATATAGTCAATAATAGTAACAACTTTATATGATCACCATACTTATTGTGGTGAACATTTCATAATGTATGTCATTGTCAAATCACTACATTGTATACCTGAAATTAATGTAATATTAAATGTCAACTATATTTCAATTAAACATTTTTAAAAAGTAAAAAACTACTTATTTCATATCGTAAAATTCCCATTGGTCCCCAGAGGCATCTAATGTACTTTAGAATATTAACAACAACAAATTTCACCAAACCAATTAAACAATGGCACTTTAATAAAGTGGCACTTGTCTTATGAGAAATGAAGAACTTTTTGAACATGAACCTAAATTCCAGTGTCCTAAGGGAGGGGGTTGAAAACTATGGAAAAGAGGAACATACCTCTGCCTCACAAAGGGATTTCCTAGGGAGAGTGTCCTGAAGAGGCACAACACTGATCTGAAAGGGACCATGATGACCTAAAACAGCCACGGCCAGTATCATTTTCAAACCAGGCCATACCCTCTGATAGTCAGTCCGACTTTCACATTGTCCACATCCTCTCAATGCAGCTTGTTAATACATAACCTAAGTTAAAACAAGTGACAAAGGTATGCCAATACTTGTTGGGATGACAAGAGAAAAAACCTTTTCTCTCTTAGTAATACACATGTTAAGTGATATATCTAACTCTTGGGCTTATTTTTCAATCCTCAGAATAACATTCTTGAGCAAAGACAATTTTTGGATAAACTATGCTTCTGATCTACCTCCTAATTATACTTCAGTAGATTTACACATAATCAAAGGCCAGGTCCTTCACACAGAGGGTCTTACCTGTGAGAAGTTCAGCCCATTCAGTGGATGGCACTGCTCTTCCACCTTTTCCACAGCCCCAGTCTGCTTCCTCAGCCGCTCAGCCTCCTGGGCAAGGTACAGGTCTAAGACAGGCACCCCACGGGACTTAATGTCCACTTCCGTCAGGGAGTTGACCATAAGCATCACCCAGATGGGCCTCTTCCGCTCCCAGTTCCCCGCAATGGCATTGAAGAGGTAGTCGGCATAGAGGCCTTTGCCATGCTGGTCCGGCGTCATCCACGAGGGCATCATGAGCTTGACGTACTCTAAGTGTCGCTTGAGGCGGCAGTAGATGTCCCGGGGGAGCACGTCCTGGAGGTTCTCTCCCTGTGGCAGCATCTGACAACTAGTGAGGGCCGAGATTGTGTAGGGGTCAGTGAGGTCCAGCTCGAAGTACACAATGCTGCTCTGCTGAAAAGCTTCCTTGGAGTTGTCCGGGATGAAGTCCCAAACCCGAGTGTACGGAACATGGATCGTGCCAAAGAAGTAAGATGGCGGGTCTCGCTTTATGGTCCACAAGAAGGAATTCAATTCACTTTGCTGAAAGGAAGAGAAAGGACATTAAGGCATTATATGGAGGGTCAGAAACCTGACAGGAGAAAACGAAGTGGACAGACAAGCCACACTGCAGGAGAAAAATGATTAAAGTATGATTTAGACTTCTGAGTCCAGGTAGATTCACCTGACAGCAGCAGGAGTCCTTGAGGCAGCATTTTCCCCTTTTCCACCGAAATGCTGATTGAAGTTAAAAAAGTAATAGCAGGGGCGCCTGGGTGGCTCAGTGGGTTAAAGCCTCTGCCTTCGGCTCAGGTCATGATCCCAGGGTTCTGGGATCGAGCCCCATATGGGGCTCTCTGCTCCGCGGGGAGCCTGCTTCCTCCTCTCTCTCTCTGCCTGCCTCTCTGCCTACTTGTGATTTCTATCTGTCAAATAAATAAATAAAATCTTAAAAAAAAAAAAAAAGGTAATAGCAGCCCTTGAGTTTGCCCTAGTAATGAACTGGGCCTCAGGCAAAGCAGGGACTCTCAAGGGACTCCCAATGACACACCTGATAGAGATGAGGGGACACCTCTGGAGACCACTGGTACTTCCCAGGCAGGCAGACTGATGGTGTCTGCATCTTCAGATCTCAAATCCAACATTCCCAGAGCAGTGACTCTCAAGGGCCACACATTGTCTCCCAACAGCTATAGGCTGAGCAGCGGTACCCATTCACCCGAATGCAAGCCACAGTGCCCTGAGGGTCTCAGTTTCAACAGCAGGCATTTAGGAAGTGTCTGTTTATTAAGAGACCCCGTACAAAGACATGCACAAGGCAGCCCTCCAGGACTTCAAGTCTCAAGGTCATATAGACTTGTGAGGTGAACCATGCATCAAGCAGCCCAAAAATGTAATAATCCAGGTTTACAGAAAAGACATTTCTTTACAAAAAAAAAAAAAAAAAAGCTTTAATTTGAGCAGCCCTTTAAGTAATATGCTTTCCTGGATTGCAGAGTTTCAACTTACAATCAGCTCTCATTATTGTCATAGTTACGTTCTATAAAGTCACCACAAACACTGAATTACCAAATAATGAACCACTGCTCCTAGGAGAAATACAAGGATTAGGTTCCTAAAAGCCTCTGGTTATAACATTTTCATTGACAGAGCAATGCTTCTGTTGAAAAGCACCATACTGAGACGCGTGGATGGCTCAGTTGGTTAAGCTGCTGCCTTCGGCTCAGGTCATGATCCCAGGGTTCTGGAATCGAGTCCTGCATCGGGCTCCTTGATCAGTGGGGAGCCTGCTTCTCTGCCTCTGCCTCCGCGTGCCACTCTGCCTGCTGTGCTCTCTCTCTCTCTCTCTCTCTGACAAATAAATAAAATCTTTAAAAAAAAAAACAAAAAAGAAAGAAAAGCTCATATTGTATACATGTGGCTAATTCATGAACACTGAACTCATGGCCAACAGCGCTACAACTCATGCCTGAACAAAGCTCATCCAACCCAACCATTTTCTCCCTAAGGCACGTCACAGCCTCCTTGTGCTTAGGAACACTAGACGGTACCTGGGCTCGGTTATTTTAAATAGTGAGATCACCCACAAGAAGCACAAAAATGCAAAAAACATAGCATTCAGCAGACCACTGAAAGAACACTTGTTCACCTGTTACTTGTTGAGAGCTGAAACAAAGTGCGGCATCGAATTATTTGACCCCAGCTGGGAGTGTGTGCATCGGGGACCTCAAATTTTTGCAGTTCTGGAAATGGCTACACATGACCATGACCGTGCCACAAGCACTGGGGTTACAAATCAATTTTAGCAGGCAGGCCAATTCACAAATGGTTTCGAAATCTACAAAGAATGAGGATCAGCTGTATTTGCATTTGTGTGTTAATGGTTTCAGTAAGAGGCAGCTACCTATTTTCCAGTGAAGAGTCACACAGAATCTCAAAACCTAAGACAAAAGCTGGCTGTCGCAGGGGCCTCATTCTCACAGCCTTTAACCTTTTCTTCTCCTGCCCTCCGGCCACCCTCCACAAAAGGACCTTCTGACCACTCAGATGAGGACAGAGGACGTAAGGGCTGGGAATGAGGTAACAGTGGGGCACGGTCGGCAGCAAACAGGCTCACAGCTCTGGATAAACACTATTGCCTAAGGAGCCTGAGCCAGTCATGGCCACACGGGAGCAGGCCTAGCGCTCCAGAACAGGTTTTTCAAAAGCAACTAAAAATCTTCAGTTTAAATAAAAGATTCCAGTTGAAGGGGTGCCTGGGTGGCTCAGTTGATAAAGCATCTGCCTTCAGCTCAGATCATGATCTTGGGGTCCTGGGACGGAGTCCCGCATTCAGCTCCTTGCTCAGCAGGAAGTGTGCTTCTCCCTCTACTGCTCCCCCTGGATTCTGATCTTCCCCCACCATAAATAAATAAAACCTTAAAAAAAAAAAAAAAAAAAATTCTCTCTCTTTCTGCCCCGCCCAGCTTCCACACTCACTCAAAAAAAAAAAAAAAAAAATCCAGTTGGAATATGTTGCCCCCATTTTTTTAAATGCCATCCAAGCCAAACAGAACATATCTCACTAGCCCTAGCCCCCAGCCTGTGGCCTTATTTGTTTGTTTGTTTTTTTAAGTATTTAAGTTACAGTTCTGCTCACACACACACGTTTTCAAGACTGCACTAATTGGTAACAAGAGTCTAAATTCTGCTTGTCCCAGCTACCTCCCTGAGATTTTTAAAAGCCACTTCATTTCTCTGTACCTCAGATTCCCCATCTTTATTTATTTTTTTTAATATTTTATTTATTTGACAGAGAGAAATCACAACTAGGCAGAGAGGCAGGCAGAGAGAGAGGAGGAAGCAGGCTCCCTGCTGAGCAGAGAGCCTGATGTGGGGCTCGATCCCAGGACCCCAGGATCATGACCTGAGCCGAAGGCAGAGGCTTTAACCCACTGAGCCACCCAGGCGCCCTTTTCTCCTTTCTTTTTTTTTTTTTTAAACATAGATTCCCCATCTTTAAAAGTTAGATAATATCTGCCACAGGTTATGGGAATAAACAAACTAGGCAGGTAATTGTTAAATGAATGAAAAATGAAAGAAAGAATGTATTTTTTAAACTTATTAACGATTGAATTGATATTAAGAGATGAATCAAATCCAGGGTCTCTAGCCAGCCCTCTGGCATCCTTTTAGGGAGTAATGACTGTCCTCAGGGTTATTTAAATACATCAAAAAGCCAAACTGAAACTCTATCTAAAACAATGGTTGCCAAGGCTAATTAAGCAGTCAAATGCCTCATTGTTAAAATTAAATCGAGCTGGTAGAAAAACACTGGTTAACCAGATGCTACTCAATAGCTGAGACTGACAGTTATACTTTGGTTCATTTAAAATGGGTCACAAAATGAGTACCTGTAAAGGCAACTCATTTGGTCGAGGTGGTCTTTGAGGCAGAGGTTGAGTTTGGTTTATTCATTTTATGGGGAAGAGTTGCTCACTGAAGGGCCCTGGGGAGTGCTATGACCGGGCGTCGCAGCCAATGGACAGGATCTGCTCACACACGGTCCACATAGTCCACCAAAGGACTTCTCCACAGCCTCCAACTGGGAGACATGGCAAAGAGCTAAAATGCTATTATTAAACCCATGGGCACCTAACTCATCGTCATCTACAAGGAGACTGTGATATCAGACTAATATATTCCCAGGAAAATGCAACCCCTACTGCAGGGTGGTGGTCAGGGGTTGGGGGATGGGCAGAGCAGGAGGTGTGGTTTCCTTTCACTTGGATTTGGGTTTGTTTTTCCCCAATACTCTTAATCACCCTAAACTCTCATCCTATCTCAAAATACCTGTACTTCTCTTTAGTTTTTTAATATTTATTTATTTATTTATTTATTTCAGAGACAGAGAGAGAGCGAGAACAAGCAGGGGAAGGGGCAGAGGAGAGGAAGAAGCAGACTCCCCACCAAGCAGGGAGCCCATAAGAGACTTGATCCCAGAACCCCAGGATCATGACCTGAGCCAAAGACAGAGGCTTAACCCACTGAGCCCCCCAGGCTCACCTTTACACTTCCTTTAAACAAAATCTGTTCAACTGTATGTATCCATTTTTATTTAATTACTTATTTCTTCCTTTTCAACTAGTATGAGTCTAGCAATGGAGTTGTTTTACAATCTTTTTGCTGAAAACTGCTCATATTTAAAAAAAAAAAAAAAACACAAAAAACAAGACTCACGTCCTGGCATCCAGCCACATGATAACAGTAATGACGCTAAGAACAGCCAGCTGTTCTGAAATGTTCACTGTGCACCAGGGACCATTCAAGCATTGCACACGAATGCTCCTACTACATCTGTTCAATTTGCATTTATTCCACAACTATTTACTGGGTGTCAGGGACTGTTGTAGGCATGAGATACTGGGGTATTCTAGGGCACTAGAAGTATAAGCAAATAAAAAACAGACCCCTGCCTCAGGTATGTCAGTGATATCTGTTGTAAAGAATATGAAAGCAGGAAATACTGGTGAAGGAGAGATTCAGCCTTAAATAAGGCGATCGGAATCACAAAATGTCTGGTAGGAGATTTAGGCCTTGCTGTGAAGGCAGGTGAAAGGGCAAACCAGGGGGATATCTGAAAAAATATTCCATCCAGGAGGAAGGAACAGCAGTGCAAAGGCCCCGAGGCAGAAAGATTCCAGCAAGGATGCCATCCTAACTACTGCAGGATGAGTGAAGAGGAAAGCAGGAAGAAAGGTCAGAGAGGTGAGCATGGCCAGGCCACACTGGAGCTACAGCAGGTTTCTGTGAGAAGAGCAACACAAGCCAACCAAATGTGTGAACAGGACTGCTCTGATGGCCGGCCTTCAGTAGACTATGGGGATGAGGACAGATGCAAGAAAGTCAGGAAGTTACCAAAAGAATCCAAGAGAGAAAACAGAGTTGTAGTGACAGAATTGAGATGTGATCAGGTTCTGGGTGTATTTTAGAAGCTAGAGCTAATAGGACTTGCTGATGAATTGGTTAATTAAAAGGAGGAAGAAGTTGCCAACGACTGAGAGAAAGGAGGGAGGGGGTGGAACAGGAGCAGAGGGGAAGGTCAGAAGTCTGGCTTGGGCCCTGCTGAGTGGAGATGTCAAGTAAACAACCAGTGGGGAAGTTGAGCTGCAGGAGTCCGGACTTTGGGAGAGGCCTGGGCCACAGATAAACATGAGGAATGGCCACCATTTAGATGTTATTTAAAGTCAAGGGACTGAATAAGATTTCCAAGGGACTATGTATCAATTAGGAAAGAAAAGGTCTAGAAATGATCTCACCTTGCTAAGTCAAGGGAAAGAAGAGCAACCAGCAAAAGAGAATGAGAGAAGTGACAGTCAAGGTCACTGAGAAAATTGAAAGAGTAGGAAGCCAAGTGAAGACAGCGCTTCAAGGAGGAGAACTTGAGCATGGGGCTCAGTGTGGCTGGTGCCACACAAGGATTTGAGAACTGGCCTCTGGATGGAGCAACACTGAGGACACTGGGGACCGAAACAAAAAGAGTTTTGGTGGCATGCTGGGGATGAAAGCCTGCCAGGCACCCCCCATTCAGGACAGAATCAGAAGAAAGGCAGTTGAGAAGATACGCCATTAATTAAGATGCTGGCCATTTCCACATGCGGAAATTGAGACCTGGAGAGGATTATGATGTGATCCAAGGTCCCAGAACTGCTGAGTGGGTTCGAAGCCAGGCAGGCTGGCTCCCGAATCCTAGGTTTATTTTTTTTTTTAAGATTTTATTTATTTATTTGACAGAGAGAGATCACAAGTAGGCAGAGAGGCAGAGAGAGAGAGAGAGAGAGAGAGAGAGAGAGAAGCAGGCCCCCTGCTGAGCAGAGAGCCCGATGTGGGACTCGATCCCAGGACTCCGGGATCATGACCTGAGCCGAAGGCAGAGGCTTAACCTACTGAGCCACCCAGGCGCCCTGAATCCTGGGTTTAAAACACCACAAGATGCCACCTTAAGATGGAACACACTATACTCCTGACTCAGCGTCCTCTTTCCATGGATACGCTAGTAGGCATGCGGCTGCTCAGGAGCGCTTCCTGACTCTGAAGAAAAGGCTCTGTCCAGGTCCCCTTCCCTTAACCCCATGACCGACCCACCCCCCCAAATAAATCCACACCACCACTCTTTTTTAATATTTTATTTATTTACTTACTTATTTGAGAGAAAGAAAATGAGCCCAGGGCGGTAGAGGGGAGGCAGAGGGAGAGAGGGAAAGAGAGAACCTCAAGCCAGCTCTGCGCTGAGCATGAAACCTGACAGGGCTCAATTTCACGACCCTGAGATCATGACTTGAGCTAAACTCAAGAGTCGGACACTTAACTGACTGAGCTACCCAAGCGCCCCCACACCATTTTTAAATCTCCAAATTGCCACCTTTTCCCACTCCGTCTTTTCAAAATAAGACAATTTGGGGAGGTTTCCCACTTTTTTAAGCCAGGGGTCTTAAAGAGTTTTTAAAGAAGTGTTCCTCATCTTGGAGAGCTAGCTTTTTCAATAAATGGAGCTCTGCCCATCCCTCGCAGCACCAGCAGTCCCTTCCTGGGGCCACTGACAGTGCCCTCTCAGGCAGGGGTGCTTTGGGGAGAGCATCAACTGGAAGAAAGTCTTCAGGACTTCTGATCTGGGACCTCTCCCCTTGCCCTGCCCACCAGCAAGCCCCCAGGTCGCTGCATTGGTCCTAGGGGTGAAACTGCCCCCGCCGCCCTTATACTCAGGGGTGGGGCTGTTTCGTCTCCACAAAAGAAAAAGAACAAAATTGTTCTACCACCCCATTTCAGTGTAACTGCGGCTACCACATGCTACTAGCTGAAGCCACGTGTTTTAATATTTCACCGAAGGATGGGCACCTGGGTGGCTCGGTGGGTTAAGCATCTGCCTTCGACTCGGGTCATGATCCTGGGGTCCTGGAATCGAGTCCTGCATTGGGCTCCTTGCTTAGCAGGGACCCGGCTTCTCCCTCTGCCTGCCGCTCCCCCTGCTTGTGCTCTCTCTGTCTGTCAAATAGATTAAAAAAAAAAAAAAAAACTTAAAAAAAAAAACCATTATGACTGATTAGAATAAAAACTTAATACCATAAACACACGTCCTTCTGAACCTTGCTGCAACTGGCCTGGAAGAAAAAAGACACAGCCATGGATGACGAGCGCAAGAAGCTACAAGCTCTGTCCGCTGAGTCACTGGCGATTTTAAACCATGTATCTGTAATCCATGCAACGAAACAAAGGAGCTCAATGGCAACTTGTGCAATGTGGGCTAAGTCCCTTAGCGGCTGCACCCCTGAGCTCCTCTCATCCCAGCCTCCTGGGGCCTGTGATAATGGCACTTTTCCAAAAGTACTCTTCCGCAGACCAATTAGAATGATACCAAAGTGAGTTGGCTTTCGTTAACAGTCTTCATTCAACAAATATTTATTGAGCATCTACTGTGCCCAAGCACTCTTCTAAGCACTGGGGACACAGCAAGCCAAACAAACAAAAATTCCTACCCTTACGAAGATTACATGGTGTGTGGGGCAGTGGGGGAAGTGAGTAGGAGAGCAGCAGCAAACAAATTTTTATCAGTTAAGTGCTCCGGAAAAAAATAAAGCAGGAAAGGCAGATAGGAGTGCAGGTGGGTCAGGGGTTGACATAACCTTTAACAGATAATCAGGAAAGGTCTCTTTCAAAGACTTTGAGCAAAGACCAGATGGAAGTATAGGAGCAAGCATGTGGATATTTGCAGGAAGAAATAGCACAGGTGAAAGAACAGAGACAGGAATAATAAAGAACACTCACTGAGTTCTGTTTGAGTGTAGATAAGGAAGAGATGACCTGCTTGGTGCTCAGCGCAAAGTCTGCAGTATCTGCAGACAGACCAGCTTAGAAGACCTCTCTGTAATGATTAACTAAAGTGGCCACCAAACCAGTTCTCAAACCGCAGAATGCTACCCAGTAAGCTACTGGACTGGAGGCTGGATTCCCGAGCTTTGCTCTACAATCTCAAGACCCCAGCGGGGGGGGGGGGGCACCCACCCGCAGCGTCCCCCACAGAGCAGGTCATACAGTCCTGCCACTGACTGATAAGACAGTTTGCCCACGGAAAAGAACAGAGATTTCCCAAATGTGGTCCAGGGACCTGTGGCTGTCCCCAAGACCCCTCCAAGCAGAGTGCAAGGTCAGAACTATTTCAACAATAATGCTAAGATATTTTCCTCTCATGCTCTCATTCTCTCACAAGCGTATACAGACTTTTCTAGAGGCTACATGTGTGGGATAATATCACTGCTCTGAAGATTAAGGGCGTGTGTCCTTACTAAAACTTCCATTAACCCACATGCATAAAGGCTCTTTGGAGTCCTCAGCACTTTTTTAGATCGTAGAGGGGTCCTGGGACCAAAAAAGTTTGAGAACTGCGAGAGTAAAAAGGCCATGGAGAGGGGTTCAAGAATCAAGAGAAACAGAGACTTTACCAAGACTCACTCGTCAGACTACAATTACGAGTGGATTTGCAGCAGGGAAAAACGTTTGCTTTCACAGGAAAGGATGGACTGCTTTGTAAACTCAGGGCGCAGCTGTCCTGTGGTGTTTGAAACTCTCCCTGCTGCGGACTTCCTCTCCAGCCACGGCGCCTCCCGCCGTCCTAGAGGGAGGGCCTCCCCAAGTCCGCAGCCCAGGACGCGTCAGGGAACTCAGTGTGGCTTCCCGCTCAGCCCCGTGAGCCAGAAAGGCTCAATTAGGTCTCCCTCTCCTTTAGTGTGGTTAGGACGATGAATAAAATTACCAGGGTGACAGGGCCCACGATGCTCCGCAGGTGTCACCGAAGGTGGGCCGATCTAAGGTCCGAGGGTCTAGTATCACCCTCCCCAACTCCAGAGATCCGGAGATCAGACCCACCGAAACAAACACAACCTTCACGGAGCTCGAAAGAACTGGAGAACGACAGAAAATTCGAGCCTAAGAAAACTAATCAGAAGAAGGAAACATTCATCTCGAAAGGGGGGCCAGCCTCGGAGACGCTAGACCTGTCCGATTGCCGCTCGGCTTCTGCTCCTGGAGGGCTGGGTGAACCCGGGTAGGTCACCGGGACTCCCTCGCCCGGGTTCCCCTCACCTACAAAGCGCCGATGCGAATATCTAGGGAAGCGCCTGTGCGTGAACGAGAGGCTGTCAGATGCGGTTACTTCGCTAATACGCTGTGTGACCTGGGGCGCAAAGGTCCCTCTCTGAGCCTCAGTTACCCCAGTCTCCCACATCGGTAAAACAAGGGGACTTCAGCTCCCCCAAATCCCTTCTAACTCGGGTACTGAATATATGACGGTTAAGTCAAGCAGCTGCAGGGCGCTTTTACCATCTCGATAAGCGCAGGAGAAAGTAAACGCCGGGGTAGAGAGGGCAGAACAAACTTCCAAAAGTCAATGTGCCACAGTCCCTGCACCTCTCGGTCTTCGAAGACTCCTCCGCGCGACGTGCCCGAAAGCCCGCGAAGCAGACGGGAGAGACCCAGGAGACCCAGTTGGGACTCTCTTTGGCTGCCCTGCCTAATGGCGAGGGCCGGGGACAGGGTCTTATGCGGCCGGGGGGCTTGCGCCCCCGCCAGAAAGGGGAACCCAGAAAGAAGGCGCGGCCGGGGGAGGTGACTCCGGATCCGAGCGCGCGGTTCTTCGCGGGCCTGCGGAGGTAACGCGGAGAATCCGCCTCGCCCGCTGGAGACGCGCACCTTACCTGGGGCTTGAGCTCGCAGCTGGCGGAGGCAGGCGCGCCGCGCCGCGGGTCTGCGCCCGTGGGCAGGAAGCAGAGGGTCGGCAGCAGGAACCAGCTCCAGGGACTCATCCTCCCCAGCGCGGCTCCGAGGCCCGGGACGCGGGGGGAAGGAGTAGGGCAGCAGGGACCGCGCAGCCCGGCTAGCCGGCGGCCGCGGAGCTGCGGACTAGCGGGGCGCCCGCCATAGCGCGCGGGGCTCGGGGGACCGGGAGCGCCGGCCGGCAACCCCGCGCCTGGCGTCAGCTCCCCCTGCAGTTCGCTCGGCAGCCGGCGGGCGGGGCTGGGGCTAGCGGGACCCCGGCAGCCACGTGGGGCGGGGCCCTGACCTCCCACCCCCACTCCTCCCCGCTGCCCTTCAGCCCCGCGCGGAGGCGGCCGCGGCAGTCGCAGCGCCGCTGCTCCCGCACAAACCCGTCCCGGGCCACCGGGTGAGGCGGCCAGAGGGGAAAAGTGGAGTTGCAGCACCGTCTCCCAGCCTCACGCCGAAATCCTATCAGCTCCTACCCCCGCGTCTGTATTTAGGCTTACAGCTCTGAGGGTGGCCCCGGGTTGAAGGAGACAGTCCAAAGAAACAAACGATAGGCTGTTTTTAAAGGAAAGCTCATTTAAACAAAGGAAATGGCACAGAAGTTTTGTCTGTAAGAGAGAAGAATAGTCAGTGTGTGCATATAAGCTTAAAAAGTCCGGAACCGCAAAAGCCGGCCCTCCATTAAGTGTCCTCTTAAGGGATTTGGGGTAATAATATTAAGGATGTGAACACCAAACTCGGATTACTTCACAAATTAGATGAGAACACTGATGGAAAACATCTTGTTTGATGCACACAGGAGGCCTGCAAAATGTTATTTGCTCCCTTTCTGCCCCCAAATTTTCAAGGGCCTTTTCACAGCACTGATCCTTCAGGGGGAAAAAAAAAATTATCAAAGCACTTAGCGGTCCCCAGCCTCTGCCATCTCCTACCCCAGGCCTGAGTGCACTTTACCAGCCCTTCTGTACAGCCCAGACTTACACGGGATCGCCTTCTGAGGGGTGTAGCGGGGGTTCTTAAAATTCCAAGTCGTTCCATTTTGAGACTCGGATAGAAACTGGAAGCAAAGGCGGGGAGGGGTTGAGGGGTTTTGGAGGGAGGCTCAGTGGCCCAGATTTACACACGATGGGACGAGTGTTCTGAACCGCAGGTGTCCATCTACAATACTCCACTGAAAAACCCCTGGCTTTAAAAAGCCAAGCTCTTCGAGCTTTCGTTCCACAGGAGTTTAAGTTTCAGGTGTTTTTGTGAAATCGCTAAATCTTTCCTGTTTTAAGTTTCAACGAGGATTTGTTTTCTGGAGTTGACTCGCAGGTCTTCAAACGACCCCCTTTTAGCCACGCAGCAAACCTCCGAAAGTACAGCCTGTCCTGGTTTTCAGATTACCAGCACTGCCACCTACTGGCAAAAATAGTCTCTCTGGTTGTGAGATGAAAGCGTCAAGAACTGTTATTATTTCGTACTCTTTCCCCCACTCCAGATGAGGTCTCCACCCATCAACTGGGGCTAGACGGAGCAGGGGGAGAGAAAACGTGTGGCAAAATGAGACTGAGTTTGTTAATTTTCTCCTGTTTGTCTCTTCCCTCTTCCCTGATTCCTGCTTTTTATAACGTCCTTTTTTTTTTTTTTTTTTAATTTATTTGGCTCTTCTTTTTCTAGCTTAGGGAGCAATGTAAGTCCTTAACTTTAAACCTTTCTTTCCTAATATAAGCATGTTAAAGCTATAAATTTCTCTCTAACCACTGCTTTAGCTGCATTGGCCAGATTTTTGAAAAACTGTAATTTGATTATCATTCAGTTTGGAAAACTTTCTTTTTTTAAATTTTATTTATTTATTTATTTGAGAAAGAGTTTGAGGGAGAGAGCGCAGGCAGAGGGAGCAGCAGAGGGAGAGAGAGAAGCAGACTCCCCACTGAGCAGGGAGCCTGCTTGGGGGGGGGTTCAGTCTCAGGACCTCTAAGATCATGACCTGAGCCAAAGGCAGACACTTAACCAACTGAGCCTCAAACACCCATGGAATACTTTCTAATCTCCCTTGTGACTTTTTTTCTTTGACCATGGGTAGTTTAAAAGTATGTTGCTTAATTTTCAAATTATAGCTTTTTCCTGATGCCTTGTTACTGATTTCTGATCTAACTCCACTGTAATCTGAGAACATACCTTGTATGATTGCGATTACTTTATATTAATTGGGACTTGTTTATGGCCCAGGATATGGTCATACACTGAATTTGAAAATGTCCAGTGTATGAACAATTTTGTTTGGTTCTAATATTGGGGGGGTGGAGCTTCCTATTTAGTCAGATCCATTATTAAGTGAAATGTATTCTGTAAGATACTCAATGTCCATACATTCAATAGAATCACATCTACTTTATATACACTGTCTATACAGATGTTCCTGAGTCCCTATGACTTCACAGTGAGGCCCAGACCTGGTGACAGGCAGGTGGGCATGACCGGTTCCCCACCTATCTTCTAGGCTGATTGGCCTTCCTGGCCTCCCCTTGGTGGTTAGGAAGGAGATGCTAAACGCCCCCCTAGCCTCCTTGCTGCCTATCCACGGTGTTTGTGTCCTTTCGATTCCTCACTTCAGTGTTGTTCTTGCATCTCATTGCCAGTGACCTGGATGTTCCTAAACCTTTCCCCGCTTCTGTTTCTCCTTCATATACAGTTGATATGTCCTTCCTATGTCCAACTAGTTGTAAGTTCTTTTTGTGCCCCTACCAATGGATTCTTGAATTTACACATTCTGTGAGGCTTATTCCCTTCACAACAGTCACCTGAGGAAACTATATGCTAGAGGCCTGTTCGTTTTTTCCCAAAAATCAGATCTTCCCTCAGAAACAAAGTTTTCAGGGTACACAGAGGATTTTCTGTGGCTTCCACCACACTTCTGTGCCTTCGTCTGGCCTTGCCCGGCCAGCCTGCTTTGACTGACCTGCAGATCACTTAACACACTGCACACTTCCCAAGGTGCTCAGGACAGCCCAGGTGTGGAGGGTAGGCCTCTAGATCCTGCCTCCTGGTATTCACACCCTTGTTGAATTGCCTCCCTTTGAGTGTAAGCAGGACCTATGACTTGCTTCTCACCCATGAAAGGTGACAAGGATGATGGGATGTACATGATTCTTGGATGAGCTTACACGAGCACGTGGCACCAGTCTTGCTGGAATCTCTCCATTGCCATCTTTGATGAAGCAAGCTGTCATGAGTCCTACAGCCGTGAGGAAATGAATTCTGCCAGCAACCTGAGGGAGCTCAGGAGTGGATCCTTCCCCCAAGTAAAACCTCTGGTGAGAGCCCCATCCTGGGCAGCACCAGGCCTGCATGCAGCCTTGTGTTACCCTACACAGACGACCCAGTTAAGCCACACCTGAACTCCTGACCCAGGGAGGCTGTGAGTCACTAAATGGGTGCTGTTCTAACCCACTAGGTTCGTGATTAGTTACACAGCAACAGAAAACTCATACACCAGGTGAAATGGAGGGCCAGGAATTCCCAGGTGTTCCAGCCGGGAGTTGTAGCATCAGTGTGTATGCTCAAAGGGAGTCACTGAAGACCCACTTCCGGCATGTCCAGGCCTACGGGCTCTAGGCATTCCCAAAGGGCCACCAGAGTTCTGCCAGTCTCTTGGTAAGCCAGTATTGGCCTCAGAATTTGTAAGTGGGAAAGGGTAGTAATCATCCCACAGGTGCTTTCGCTTAGCAAGCCACACCCAAGAGGCTAGGTCCTGGGAAGGAGAGAACCTCCCCTGGCACAGCGAGTGGTCTACCTTTATCTGTGAGGTCTTGGTGTTGCTACAAGATGGCAATATCCACAGCCAGGCTATGGTGGTTTCCTACTGAATGTTGTATATTGGACGTAAACAATTTCACAGTATATCAACAACTGACAAGGCCACTCTGAGACTGTGGTGGAGGAAGACAAAAACCAGATGACTTCATTATCATGTCTCCACACAGACAAGACATGAACCTTGTCCAAACCACAAAAAGGAACAGACAGCCCCTGACCTGGCTAATGAGTAACTGCTGCTTCTCCCCCAATCTGGGCTTCAGCCTTTATGATTTCCCCCCACCTTATAGACAAGATGTTTTAAAATACTGTTCTGGGCTGAATTGTGTCCCCCGAAAAATCAAATGTTGAACCCATACCCTGGTACCTTAGAATGTGATTGTATTTGAAGACAGGGTCTTTAAAGAAGTGATGAAAATGAGATGGTGACTGTAGGCTCAAATCCAGCCTGACGGCTGTCCTTGTAAAAAGAGAAAATTTGGGCGCACAACAGAGAACCAGGGGCATGCAGGCCCAGAGGGACAGCTGTGTGAGGACACAGCAAGAAGGCAGCCTTCTGCCAGCCGGGAAAGAGGCCTCAGGAGAAAACACACGGGCTGACACCTTGATTTTGAACTTCTGGCCTTCAGACCTGTGAGAAAATCTATTGTTTAAGCAACCAAGTCTGTGGTATTTTGTTATGGGAACCTGAGCAAGCTATTACAGATGTTCAGTCAGAATTACACCTACTTCCTCAGAACACCCAATCGAGAGCTAAGCCCTGCTTCCTTGAACCTTCCTCCCAAGTCACCAAAAAACAAAAACAAAAAAACAAATTCTGTAACAAGTCCTTCCCTCACGCTCTTACCGAGATGCCCCAGTTTCCCAAGGTACAAGCTTTTCCTCTCTCCAAAGAGCAGTAAGTCTAACTATTCAACTTCAGGTGTGTCCCTGGTGGTCTTTAGCTAACAGGCACTGATAACTGTTTGTCTACTTGGGGCAACTTCAGCCAGTCCCTAAGCCTTCCCTTTTGCTCCCGCTGGTCTTACATCAGAACATGTGTGGGGAGTTCTCCCCACATTGACACATTTTTACTCTCCTCCCTGCTCCTCCTCTCCTGCCTCTCCCCTGCGCATAGGCCACAGGGGCAAGGCTGCACCTGAGGTGAGGGTATCTCTCTCCTGGGAGCCTGGGATTTGGTGCCTGTATGACTGATTCCTGACTGAAAGGGCTGAACAGTATGTTGGGATGAACTGAGGCCTCT